ATATATACTCAGAAAAAGTATTTAAGACAGCGCTGGAGGAAAGCACAGAAGGCATAAAAATAAATGGAGAAATAATTAATAACATAAGGTATGCTGATGACACTGTGATTCTAGCAAGTAACATGGAGGAACTGAGTTTCCTAATGAGTAAGATACAAAAAACAAGTGCACAATACGGACTCAATATCACAAAAACCAAATCGATGTTAGTAAGCAAAACCCAACAACCATCACAGCAACTGATATTAGACAATGAAAAAATTTAACACGTGGATTCGTACATCTACTTGGGAACAACAGTTAACTCAAATTGGGATCAAGCAAAGGAAATACGTATAAGAGTAGAAAAGGCAAGAGCATCGTTCACTAGCATGAAGCAAATTTTCACCTCTAAAAGCCTCACCTTACCTCTCAAAATTCGACTTCTGCAATGTTATGTATTACCGGTTTTGTTATATGGAATGGAGGCGTGGACAATGACCGCAACATTGATGAAAAAAGTAGAGGCTTTCGAAATGTGGGCTTACCGACGTATATTACGTATATCCTGGACTGAGCACGTGACCAACGAAGAGGGTACTACGCCGGATAGGTAAAGATGAGAGGAGGTAAGAATAAGTATAAAGAAAAGAAAGTTGGAATACTTAGGTCACGTTATGAGACATAATAAATATAGAGTACTACAGCTGATCGTTTAAGAGAAAATAGACAAGCAGAAGGGGTCCAGGGAGGAGAAGACACCCGTGGATCCAAAACTTGCGGCAATGGTTCGGATTGTCATCTGCTCAACTATTTAGATCTGCCATAAACAAAGTCAGAATAGCCATGTTGATTGCCAACGTTCGAAACGGAAAAGGCACATGAAGAAGGTCCAAAAGGAACCATTTTCATTTTGGTAAAATTCGAATATAGGCACCAAGAAACATAAACAAAGTCAAGGTATCAAGGGGACATAAAATTGTATACCCTACCTCTCCCTTGGCTTCTGGACTAAATTGCATATTGAAATATTTAGCCATATATTCAAATTCAAAATTACTAAAATAAAAAAGAACACTGATAAGAAGCTAAGGTCCGACGGGCTTTTGACTTTTTTCCGCAGTGGTATTAAAAGATTTGTATAAGTGGCAAATAAAATACATATGTAGTCGATTTAAAAAGAAAATTTTATTTTACTATTTATTATGTAACTTTTTTGTAATTACATAAGTAAATATTGATTGAAATGTTGACTTTAATCAAAGTTAAGTCTAAAAACAAATACAATATTGCAAATGCATATAATTATGCAAATTATTCAGACCTACAACAGAACCAAATTTTTAGTGATATAAACGGTGCAATATTAGTGAATTAACCAAAATCATGTATCAACCTACATCTTACATAAAGACGCAACCTTTTGTACCAGCAATAACACAAAATTTATTAAATGGACAGCACTGTAATCCAAATAATCTCTACGATGGAGCGACCAATAACTTAGCTACACAAGTTTGTTCTCAAAACAAAGGATAGCAAACAGTGAATTATAAAAAAGACAAAGAAGTCCCAAAGACAAAAAAAAGTAAACGACAAACCAAAATAAAAGAATACTGGCCAGTTAAATCAAATACCAGCAACAATCGTGACCAAACTGGAAAGTAGCGAATGTGCAAAATTTACGTATCTGAGCTAATACACTAAAGAGCTGTGGCTTGTCAAGATGTATATTCCAATAAAACAGCGAATGTGGAGGTTAAATATTTACGTCATTGTTGACTATTTTTTTCGGGTAGCGGGTAAGAACTCTTTAAACTCTTGAATATAGTTCTATCAGCGAAATTAAAGCAATCCCTGACCTCCGCAGATTCGGGGGGTTACCTGACCCGGAAAACTAGTACCTGTTTAGGGTTTCTTGTCCAGGGTTACGGATGAAGTCCACAATGGCAGCCACGGCGGAGAAGCGGAGCTTCGGTACAGTACGGATGGCTGAAGTGGCAACCCTCGATTTTAGGGTTACTATAGAATCAAACCAAATCTACAGCGTCTGATCCAGAATGGGCGGCTGCAAACAGCGTCTGG